CCACTCACCTCAGCCTCCCAAAGGCGTGGGATTACAGGCTGAGACACCAAGCCCAGCTCCCCTTTCCTATATTTAGGCTATTTGTCACACAGTAGCCAGACAAATCCTGTTAACTTGAAAGTCAGGTCATGATATTTCTGTTTCAGAGCACTCCTACTAGTTTCCATCTCCCTTAAGAAACCAAAATCAGCCGGGCTCGGTGGCTCAGCCTGTAATCCCACGCCTTTGGGAGGCTGAGGTGAGTGGATTGCCTGAGCCCGTGGGTTCGAGACCCATCTGGGCAGCGAGATCTCATCTCTACAATAAATCAAAAAATCAGCCGGGCATGGTAGCACATGCCTTTAATTCTGGCTACTTGGAAGGCTGAGGTGGAAAGATCACCAGAGCCCAGCGGGTCGAGGCTGCGGTGGCCGGGAGCGGCCACTGCACTCCAGTCTGGGCGACCGAATGTGACTCCAACTCAAAAAAAAAAAAGAAAAAGAAAAAATTAGCCAGGTTTGGTGGTACACACCTGTGGTTCCAGATACTTGGAAGGCTGAGGTGGAAGGATCACCTGAGTCCAGCAGGTGGCTGTGAGCATGCTACTACACTCCAGCCTGGACAACAGTGAGATGCTGACTCAAACAAACAAAAAACAAAGTGGGAAGTTAAATTTAATGACTCCTCAAGCCGTAATACTATAAGAAAGGGACTGGCAGTAGTTGGAAACTTCCAAGGGATAGCGGGGAAGGGTTTGGCAGTAGTGGGAAACGGCTGGTGGAGGACATATCTCATAACAAGGGTACTTGCATAATGAACATTTATATACCTAACCCTGAATTGTACCCCACATCTTCAAAATTAAAAATAAAAAAAAAGGCCGGGTTCAGCCGGACCTGGTGGCTCAGCCTGTAATCCCGTGCCTTTGGGAGGCTGAGGTGAGTGGACTGCCTGAGCCCGTGGGTTCGAGACCCGCCTGGGCAACTTGGCCAGACCTCATCTCTACAATAAATAAAAAAAATTAGCCAGGTGTGGTAGTCCGCGCTTGTAGTTCCAGCTACTTGGAAGGCTGAGGCGGAAGGATCACCGGAGCCCAGCAGGTCGAGGCTGCTGTGGCCGGAAGCGGCCATTGCGCTCCAGTCTGGCTGACAGAGTGAGATTCCAACTCAAAAAAAAAAAAAAAAAAGGCTGGGTGTGGTGGCTCACACCTATAATCCCAGCACTTTGGGAGGCTGAGGTGAGAGGATTACCTGAGCCCGGGATTCGAGACAACATGGTGAGATCTCATCTCTACAATAAATCAAAAATTAGCTGGGCATGGTGACGTGTGCATGTAGTTCCAGCTACTTGGAAGGCTGAGGCAGAAGGATTGCCTGAGTCCAGCAGGTTGAGGCTGCGGTGGCTGTGAGTGTGCCACTGCACTCCGGCCTGGGTGACTGAGTGAGACTCCAACTCAATAAATAAATAAATACGTAAATAAAAGTTGAAAAAAGAAAGACTACTCTAGTAGGCATGGTGGCTCACGCCTGTAATCCTAGCACTTTGGGAGGCAGAGGCAAGAGGATTGCCTGAGCCCAGGGGTTCAGGATCAGCTTGGGCAACCTGGTGAGACCTTGTCTCCACAATAAATAAAAAAATTAGCCAGGTGTGGTGGCATGCACCTGTAATTCCAGCTACTTGGAAGGCTGAGGCAGGAAGATTACCTGAGTCCAGCAGGTCAAAAGCTGTGGTGATTGAAAGCTTGCCACTGCACTCCAGCCTTGGAGACAGAATGAGACTCTGACTCAGGAAAAACAAACAAATAAATAAAGACTAAAAACAACTCAATCCACGCTCAGCCTGTAATCCCGCGCCTTTAGAGGCTGAGGTGAGTGGATTGCCTGAGCCCGCGGGTTCGAGACCCGCCTGGGCAACTTGGCGAGACCTCGTCTCTACAATAAATAAATAAAAAAAAAATAGCCAGATGTAGTAGCGTGCACATGTAATTCCAGCTACTTGGGAGGCTGAGGCGGAAGGATGGCCAGAGTCCAGCAGGTCAAGGCTGTGGTGACCGGGAGCGGCCATTGCACTCTAGTTTTGAGTGAGACTCCAACTCAAAAAAATAAAATAAAGCTTGCTTTATGTTTGAATGCTTTATGGGTTTTTCTTGCAGCAGACTTCTTAGATCCTATAGTATTGAATTTAGACTATAAAATAAGGTTGCCTTCCCTCTGGGCCTACTGACAGGGACACCAGTTCGCCAGGACAGTTCGCCAGGACAGTTCACCTGAGAACTTGAAACTGGCTGTTGGAAGAACATTAGCTTGGAGCTTCTGGAAACCAGCTGCAGACTGAAAGGTGTGCTGCTCCGTTTTCTGCTAGATTGCTGATTTGCAGTTTCCTTCCAACTCCTCTCGACCTTGCACAAGTCACGCTTGGCCAAATTTATTGCTCAAGAGCTAGCAAGGCCTGTGTAAGCTGAATGGACTTTCCTTTATGGGTAGGACTACTGAACCTTTAAAATAGATGATGGTTGTCTGGTATTCTTTTTTTTTTTTGAGCTGGAGTCTCACTCAGTCGCCCAGACTGGAGTGCAGTGGCCGCTCCCGGCCACCGCAGCCTTGCCTGCTGGGCTGCAGCGATCCTTCCACTTCAGCCTTCCAAGTAGCTGGAACTACAGGTGCGCGCTGCCACGCCCGGCTAATTTTTTGATTTATTGTAGAGATGAGGTCTCGCCAAGTCGCCCAGGCGGGTCTCGAATCCGCGGGCTCAGGCAATCCACTCACCTCAGCCTCCCAAAGGAGGGTATTACGGGCTGAGCCACCGAGGAGGGTATTACGGGCTGAGCCACCGAGCCCGGCTGTCTGGTATTCTTGAACTGGGGATATCTAAGTTGGAAACACCAAAAGGAAAAGGAGACAAGCCTCCGTATCAGTACTCTAATCCAAGTGCTTCTCTTGCATCTATCCTCAGTATCAGGTAGAAGGGCTATGCTCCTTGGACTGGGAGCATAGGACCCTCTGTGGGCGCATGGTCAGCAGACCCTTCCAGAGATGGCTTAAGTTTAGGCCCGAAGAAGCTCCCTTCCATTTCCCTCACACTAACGGACAATAAGAAGGCCTCAAAGTAGCCAGGCCAGGGCCGTACTCGAGCCGCTGGCAGTGATTAAACCTCGGGAAGGCCAAGCTACCAACAACCTGGACGCCTAGCTCAACTCAGATGAAAGCGCAAGATGACGAGCGGCCATAGAACAGAGGCCAACCACAACCCCCAGCAGTCCCTGCGGACCGAGGCGGGGAAACACGATTTCCTATTGGGTGGCGACGAATAGGGAACCCTTACGCCCCGCCCCAGAAGGCAAGCCCCCTTCGCGCGGGGCATAGCGGGAGTGGAGTCGGCGGGACGTGCTGGTGTACTCCATCTCCCGGCGGGCCGAGCGCTGAAGGCGGCGGCGCGGCGCCTTTGTGGAAGCGGTGGCCCCGCGCGGAGGAAGTTCCGGTCTCCGCGGTGCTGGGTCGGTGGCGGCAGCTGAGAGGAAGGAGGAGCGGGCCGTGGAGGCTGCGCTGCCTCGGTAAGAACTCGCGGCAGGAGGAAGGGCGTGCTGGAGCCTGCGGGGAAAGAGCCCGCGTACAGGGCCGCTCTGGATGTCGTGGGCCCGCGCGGCCTGGGAGCCTCGGCTTCGGTGTCGCGGGGCGGCCGCGGCCTCACTCGGGAAGAAGAGATCCAAGCGGCAGTGTGGTGAGGGAGGTGCTGCCCGCGGTAGGAACGCCCCGGAACCGTCGCGGGCCCGGGGCGGGGCCCGGAGCGGCGGTAGAATTGCCGGTTCCGCCACGGAGTGTAACCAGCTGTGGGGATGGAGGCTAGCGCGTGCTTGCGGCTTGGTGCTCCAAGTCTGCGGAGCGACAGGCAGGCTCTTCTTACTTTTTTCCTGCTTCTGATTCAGTTCTGAAGCATCACTAAAAGGGACGCTTTTGTGCCTAGCACGTAGCCTCGCCTTCAGATCCAGACGAGCTCCGTGCCCTGCCCGGGGGGGAGAGGGCCTAGAACCTGGAGGCGGGGGAGTGGTCTGGTGGGTTCTGTGCCCGTTGGGCGAATGTAAGAGGAGAGAGATGTATCCTCGTATTCACGCTGTAGATTCTTTTTGGTAGTGTAAATGTTTTTCTCTATTTTAGAATTGATGTGCTGATGAGTTCAACTTTCAGAGTGAACTTTTTAGTAAAAAGGATTCTGTTTTATAGGGTACATAAACTGTGAGGGCAGTTGTATTTTTTGCATAGTTCAGGTTGACTTGTGAAGGATAGTAGCTGAATTAAGTGACGGAGTCCAGTAGACTGATGCGTCTGGTCACCTGTTTCATTTTCTGGACTCTGGATTGTGCTCTAGGTTTATTAGATTCCAACTTCCTGTTAAGCAGTGCCACCAGTGTGAACGATCTAAATAGTCACCATCACCAGACTTGTGGGGACTGTAGGGAGGGTACAAGAACTGGTGGGTGAGGTAGGACTGGCAATGTGGAAAGCAACAAATATGTTACTATTTTGGTGAAACACAAAAGCTGAATTTGAACCTTGTCTCAGAAACTAGCACCTAACTAGTTACCTAACCTACAAGATAGGTCCCAGTTTCTCTGGTCAGTTGTAGCACCCTTCCTTATAGAGTTCTGTTATGAAACTTAGGTTTATTTATGTATCTTTTTTTTTTTTTTTTTTTTGAGTTGGAGTCTCACTCTATCTCCCAAACTGGAGTGCAGTGGCTGCTCCGGCCACCACAGCCTTGACCTGCTGGGCTCCGGCAATCCTTCTGCCTCAGCCTTCCAAGTAGCTGGAATTACAGGCACGTGCTACCACGCCCGGCTCATTTTTGACTTATTGTAGAGATGAGGTCTGGCCAAGCTGCCCAGGCGGGTCTAGAACCCGCGGGCTCAGGCAATCCACTCATCTCAGCCTCCCAAAGGCACGGGATTACAGACTGAGCCACTGAGCCCGGCTTTTTTTTTTTTTTTTTTTTTGAGTTGGAGTCTCATTCTGTCCCCCAGGCTGGAGTGCAGTGGCATGCTCATGGCCACCACAGCCTCAACCTACTGGGCTCAGGTGATCCTTCTGTCTTGGCCTTCCAGGTAGCTGGAACTACAGACATGCACCACCATGCCCAGCTAATTTAATTTATTTTTTGAGATGAGGTCTCTCCATGTTGCTCAGGCTGGTCTCGAACCCCTGAGCTCAGGCAGTCCTCTTGCCTCTGTCTCCCAAAGTTCTGGGATTACAGGTGTGAGCCATTGTGCCTGGCCACGTTGGTTTAGTATTGTTGTCTTTAAGATCCTAGGTTCTGGCTGGGCACAGTGGCTCAGCCTGTAATGCCAGCACTTTGGGAGACCAAGGCAAAAGAATTGTCTGAGTCCAGTTGTTCGAGATCAGCTTGAACAACTTGGTGAGATCTTGTCTCTAAAATAAAAAATAAATAAATAAAAAGATCCTAGGTTTTTTCTTTTGAGTAGGTGTCTCACTCTGTTGCCCAGGCTGGAGTGCAGTGGCATGCTCACAGCTACTGTTGCAGCCTCCACCTGCTGGGCTCAAGTGATCCTTCCACCTCAGCCTTCCAAGTAGCTGGAACCACAGGCATACGCCACCACGCCTGGCTAATTTTTTGATTTATTGTAGAAACAAGTTCTCACCAAGTTGCCCAGGCTGGTCTTCAAGCCCTGGGCTTAGGCAATTCTCTTGCCTCCTTCTCCAAAAGTGCTGGGATTACAGGCAGGCATGAGCTACCATACCTGGCTGGATCCTAGGTTCTTGTAGTCTTTCAGACAGAGGAGAGTGGTCAAGGGGATTAGTTATTAAGTGTACTTTTCTGATTTGGGCAAGGTTATACCTTTCTGCCAACATGTTTAAATGTATAAACTGATGTTAATATCTAATTCAGAGTTGTATTAAGATTTCTTTTCTTTTGGAGTCAGGGTCTCATTCTGTTGCTCAGGTTGGAGTGCAGTTGCACAAGCACATCTCACCATAGTCTTGAGCTCCTGGACTCAGGTGATCCTTCAACCTCAGTCTCCTAAGTAGCTGGGACTAAAAGTGTGCTCACCACTACCCCCTGCTAATGTTTTTGTTCTTTTTCTAGAGGCGAAGTCATGGTATGTTCCTTAGGCTGGTCTTGAACTCCTGGGCTCAAGTGATCCTTCCATCTCAGCCTCCCAAAGTGTTGTGATTATAGGTATGAGACCAAGCCTGGCCTTAACAATTAATTTTTTTTAGAGACAAGATCTCACACTGTCACCCAGGCTGGAGTGCAGTGGCACATAGTTCACTGCAGCCTCGAACTCCTAGGCTCAAGTGGTTCTCCCACTGCAGCATCCTCAGTAGCTAGGACCAAGTCGCTAGGCATGAGCCACCGAGCCTGGCCCTAAACCATTTTTTTTTTTTTTTTTTGAGTTGGGGTTGCATTCCAACTGGAGTGCAGTGACATGCTTGTGGCCATCCCAGTGTTGACCTGCTGCACTCCGGTGATTCTTCCACCTTAGCCTTCCAAGTAGCTGGAAATACAGGTGCATGTTACCATGCCTGGCTAGTTTTTTATTTATTATAGATCGAGGTCTCGCCAAGTTGCCCAGGCTGGTCTCGAACCTGAGGGCTCAGGCAATCCAACTCGCCTTGGCCTCCCAAAGTACTGGGATTATAGCCCTAAACCATTTTTTTTAGTCAGAGTCTCACTCTGTCGCCCAGGCTGACATGCAGTGACATGTTCATGGTCACTGCAGCCTCGACCTGCTGGTTTCAGGTGATCCTTTCATTCCAGCCTTCCAAGTAGCTGGAACTATAGGCAGGGGCCACCATGCTTAGGATTTTTTGATTTATTGTAGAGATGAAGTCTCACCAAGTTGCCCAGGCTGGTCTCGAACCTGTGGGCTAGGGCAGTCCTCTCATCTCGGCTTACCAAAGTGCTGGGTTTATAGCCCTAAACGTTTTTTTTTTTTTTTTTGAGTTGGAGTTGCACTCTGTCGCCCAGACTGGAGTGCAGTGGCCACTCCCGGCCACTGCAGCCTCGACCTGCTGGGCTCCAATGATCCTTCCGCCTCAGCCTTCCAAGTAGCTGGAACTACAGGCATGCGCTACCACACCTGGCTAATCTTTTGATTTGTTGTAGAGATGAGGTCTCGGCCAAGTTGCCCAGACGAGTCTTGAACCCTCGGCCTTAGGCAATCCACTCACCTCAGCCTCCCAAAGCACGAGATTACAGGCTGAACCACCGAGCCCGGCTAATTTTTTTTTTTTTTGAGTTGGAGTCTCACTCTGTTGCCCAGGCTGGAGTGCACACTCCCGACCACTGCAGCCTCGACCTGCTGGGCTCCAGCGATCGTTCTGCCTCAGCCTTCCAAGTAGCCAGAACTACAGGCGTGTGCTACCACACCTGGCTAATAATTTTGATTTATTGTAGAGATCAGGTCTCACCAAGTTGCCCGGGCAGGTCTCCAACCCATGGGCTCAGGCAATCCACTCACCTCAGCCTCCCAAAGTGCTGGGATTACAGGCTGAGCCACCGAGCCTAGCAACCATTTTTAAGTGTACAATTTAGTGGCATTAATTACACTTACAGTATAGTATAACCAACACCACTGTTTCCAAAACTTTATCATGGTAGACACTCTAACTGCTGGGTCTGGTAGCTCATGCCTGTAATCTCAGCAGTTTGGGAGGTGGAGACAAGAGGATTGCCTGAGTCCATGGGTTCGAGACCAGCCGGGGCAACTTAGTGAGACCTAGTCTCTACAATAAATAAAAAAATTAGCCAGGCATGGTGGTGCGTGTCTGTAGTTCCAGTTACTTGGAAGGCTGAGGAGGGAGGATCTTATGAGCCCAACAGGTCGAGACTGGTGGCAGTGAGCCTGCCACTGTTCTCCAACCTGGGTAACAGTGAGACTCCAACTCAAACAAACAAACAATAAAGAAACTCTGTAACCATTCAAGTAACTCCCCACTTCCTCTTTCATCTAGCCTCTTGTAATTGGTTTTTTCTTTCTTTTTTTTTTTTGAGTTGGAGTCTCATTCCGTCTCCCAGGAGAGAGTGCAGTGGCACGCTCACGCTCACTGAACCCGGCCCCCTTGTAATTGTTAATCTACTTTGTGTCTCTATAAGTATGCCTGTTTTTGGTATCCCATATACTAAATGGAAGCATGCAATATTTGTCCTTTTTTTTTTTTGAGTTGGAGTCTCACTCTGTCACCCAGACTGGAGTGCAATGGCCGCTCCTGGCCACCGCAGCCTCAACCTGCTGGGCTCCGGCGATCCTTCCGCCTCAGCCTTCCAAGTAGCTGGAACTACAGGCACACGCTACCACACCCCGCTCATTTTGATTTATTGTAGAGATGAGGTCTCGCCAAGTTGCCCAGATGGGTCTCGAACCCGCGGGCTCAGGCAATCCACTCACCTCAGCCTCCCAAAGGCGTGGGATTACAGGCTGAGCCACCGAGCCCGGCATTATATTAGTCCTTTTTTATGTTTGGCTTATTTCACTTAGTGTAATGGTTTCAAGGTTCATGCTGTGACATGTATGAGAACTTTATACCTTTTTATGAC